AAAATATGAAATCATGACATCATCATTATAAAGAACAGTTGTAATATTTTAATATGCACCTTAAGTATAAGTAAAGGCAATAACATACTGTATCAAATAACTTATTGTAATGATTGGACTAGAAGGCCAACTGAGAAGATATTGCAGAAGTAGCTACTATTAGTAGAGTTATTTCAAACCTAATCAAAAAAATAAAATAAAAAAAGCTACGCATTGGGATGCTTATTTCAAGATGATTAGTAATTGGCTAAAGATAGATAATATATAATATCAAGATTATAATCTTAGTGATGGCTTACTCTATTACAAAAATAAAATTTATGTATCTGACAATCATATACTCCAGATGCATATACTTCAAGAGGGATATGACATCTTAATATCTAGACATCTAGGGCAAGAAAAGACTCTAGAATAGATTTCAAGAATATGATTTTGGACAAATTTGGATTGTAATATTCAAGCTTTTGTGCACTCTTGCGAATCATATTAATATAATAAAACATACAATATAATATCTTCTAAATTATTGCACACAATTCTATTAACTATGACATGATGGAAGCAAGTAATTATGAATCTCATTACATATTTGCTGTAGATGCCTCACAATCATAATACAGTTACTGTCTTTGTAGACCAACTCTTGAAGCAACTTGACTTAGCCACTATATGCTTGGATATTCATATTTTAGTACTTGCATGGATCTTCTTTGATACTATCTTTCATCACTATATATTACCTCATGTCATCATTTTACATCGAGATCCATACTTCATGGAAAGTTTTTGATAGGCCTTATTTAAACTACTAGGTACATGACTTGTCATGTCTATAGCCTTCCATCCTTAAATAAATCAACAAATAGAACATATACATTGGACCTTAGAAGATATGCTATAGACATTTGTGGCAGTTTATGATAATGATTGAATATTTGATGTCCTTAGAGTTTTCTTACAATGATAGTATTTAAGAAAGTATTAGTCATTCACCATTCTTTTTTAACATTGGTCAGTATCAAATTATACCAACAATTCTTCATCATCCCATTAACACCAATAATTTGACAAGGAAGGAGTTCATATAATAACTTTCAACAACCTTAAAAGAGGCATTATACTACCTTTTAACTGCAAAAAATCTAGAAAAGTAATATGCAAATAACCACAAGCAATACAAGACCTTCTAGGAGGGTGATCAAGTGTTACTCTTTAATGCCAACTTGCCACTTGCTACATCAACTCAAATCCATAAATTGATGCCTCTGTGGCTTTGATCTTTCCATATTTTTGCAATGATTTTTAATGTCGTATATTGCATTGAACTTTTCCCACATATTTGGGTCTATTTGGTCCTTTATGTTTTACAATTCAACGAATTCCATATCAAGCTAAGGTACTTTTTGGATTGACATCAAGCACTACTACCACCACTAATTGTACTTGATAATCAATAAGAATATGAAGTAGACAGTATCTTGGAGCATCACTATTTTTGCTATAGCAGTGGACATCCACAACTTCAATACAAAGTCATCTAAAAGATTATCTTATCTACAATGCAAAGTAGAAACCTGCACAAAATCTCATCCATTATGAAGAAATAATTTAGAGATACTATTGACAGCAAAATTAAGATGTTCTACATTAGTAGAGGAAAATTAATTGTAACGAGATATCAATAAGATATTTGTATTATTAATGCATAAAGATAGATAATTGGAGCTATATTTGAGAAGTTTATAGAAGTTTTTAGAATAGGGGCTAAGTTAGTGGACTATATAAGACCTATCATTGAACATTGTAGAAGAGCTTAGGATAATTATCAAGATATGGCCTATTGTAGAACATTCCAGAAAGAACTTAGGATAATTATGTAGGTAGGATCTATCATTAAGAATATTCTAGAAAGTTCTAGGATAGTTGGACAAAGTATAAATAAGACTAGCAAAAACCATTTGGATATTTGGTCAAATATGACTTCAGACCCTTTCTTTTAGTAAAATTTGATTTTGCATCTTCTTTTTCAGTTTTGTTTTATTTTCTTTTGTTTTAGTCTATTTTATCCTACATTGTGATAGATTTTATACTACTATAGATTAAAAGAGTCTTAGATTTTTAAAATAGTCCAGTCTTGTTTCACTATTTATGATATTACTGCACCTAAGGCAAAGTCTGATGTATTTGTTTTCATGAAAAATGCCATGTAGAAGTCAACACAATATAAGATTGGTGCAAAAATAAATTATTTTTTTAAAGCATTAAACAATATTTTGGCTTCTTTATTGCAATGAAGTTTGTCTTTATAAGTTAAACATGTAAGTAGAGTTGTAACTTGAAAAAAAATCTTCATGAAGATCTGTTAGTAATTTACAAAGCCCAAAAAGCATTACATATCTCTTATTGTTCTTAAAATCTTCCAATCTATGATAGTTTGGACTTTCTTTGGATCCACCATCAGCCATTTGTTAGAAATGATGTATTTTAAGAAGTCAATTTGAGTAATGTAGAATACACACTTTTCTAACTTAACATATAATCTTGCATCTCTAAGTTTTTATAACATACAACAAACATGAATTTTATGCTCTTTTATATTTTTAGAATAGATTAAAATATTTTTCAAATAATAAATAACAAAATTATCAAGAAACTCATAAAAAATATTATTTATTAGATATTAAAAAGCAATTGATATATTTGTGAGTCCAAAAGGCATGACATTATATTTGAAATGCCTATACTTGGTTTGAAATGTAATTTTTTATTCATCTCTTTTTTTAATGTCTATTAGATTATAAGCTCTTCATAAATCTATTTTTATATAGATCTTTATATGATTCAATTGATCAAGTAGTCTTGAAATAAAAGATAAAGAATACCTATTTTTTGATGGTGATCTTGTTAAATCCTCGATAGTTTATTCACATCCATAGAGATCAATCTTTTTTCTTTATAAATAAGATAGGAGATTCTATTAGAAATTTTTAATAGTGTATGAAGTTTTTAGCCAAGTTTTCATCAATGTAATCTTTTGATACAATAAAATCATTTTATGATAAGCTATAGATAGATCCAAATGGTGATTAAGTTCATTCTTATAGAAAAATTGAACAATCATATGATCAATGGTCTGAAAAAGTATCTGCATTCTTCTTTTTTAAAAATATTATGAAAATCTTAATATTTTCTAGGAATACTACTTGACATCATCTAACCATCAAAAAGAATCAACTTTTGTTATATACTACTTGACATCATTTGACCATAAAAAATGACCAGCAAAAAAAGAACCAACTTTTGCTATATTCTCTTAACAACATTGAATCTTTTTCTGCTCTATGACAAATTTAAAATGCTCTGTATCAATTTGCATTGATTATGGCCTTGATGAATAAGTTTTGGAAAACTTGGAAGCTGCCATCACTATTTGATTTGTTTCTCTTTAATCAAGTCTTTGTTGTTAATATCTTTCAAATAATCAATTGTTGTATGCAACGGCTTGAGCAATAAATTGTTTTAAAGATTTTGCTTTTGGCATTGTCAATAATAAATCTTTGATGTTATTTTTCAATGCAAATCAAAATTGATTGATAAGGATTTTTTATTTCAATCCACATTGTAAGAAAGATTTTGGAATTCAACAATATATATGGTAGTTGACCATGAATCTTGTTGTGAAAATAAGAGCTTTGTTTTTGCTACTTATTCTTGATTATTTTTCTTTAAATGTGGCTATAAGCACTTTTAGGAATGAATTCAAATCATATAGGAGTGATGAATCTTTTTTCATCAAAGGCAAAAATCTTCAAAAATATTATGAAATAAATTTACTTTTATGAACTTTTATTTATTTATATAAGTAAATATTAGAGTAAATATATATGTTTGAGACAAAAAAGGAAACAAAAAGAGAAGAAGAAGTATGAAAATGAAAAAAAAAATAAAAAAGGATGACAATGAAGAAAAATGTAAAAAAAGAAGAAAAAAAAGAAGGAAAAAAAGAAAAAAGATGAAAAGAAAGAAGAAAAAAAGGAGAAGAGGGAGAAAGAAGAAAAGAAGAAGAAGTAGGAAAAAAAAAAAAAAAAAAAAAAAAAAAAAAGGTGAAAGGAAAGAGAAAAGATAAGAGAGAGAAGAAGAAGAGAGATGAGGAAGGAAAGAAGAAGAAGAAGAAGAAGACGAATGAAAAATGAAGAAAGAAGAAGGGATGTGAAGAAAATAAGGGGAGAAAAACAATAAGAAGAAGAGAAAAATAAAAGAAGGAAGGGGAAGAACGAAGAGGAGGAGGAGCAGAGAAAGGAGGAAGAAGAAAAAATGGGGAAGAGAGAGAAGAGAAAAAGGAGGAGGCGGAGGTAAAGGGAGAAGGGAAGGAGGAAGAGAAGAGGAAGGGGGAGCAGAAGCTGAAGTGGGAGCAGAAGTGGGACATGAGACTCCTCCACCTCCTGGGTCCGGATTGTTGAAGTTGGGAGGGGGCGTAGGAGAGGGAGGTAGTATTGTGGCTGTCTGTCTGTCTGTCTGTCAGTACCCATGAATGCTTCTGCCCCGTGGAGGTGGGAGGAGACTGACGTGGATGACGACGTCCTGCATGGGGATGGATGGTGATTGCATCCCCAGAAGAAGCCCCCCCTCCCTCTCCACATGAAATGCGACACCAGCACCCCTCAGCCTTGGATGCGGATGCGGATGTGACGCCCACTGGATGGATGGATTCCTGGGGATCGTCATCCCTCAAGGGTCGGTCATCCATGCCCCCACGGTGCGTTCCGGAACACGGGGAGGCCGGGGAGGGCTCGGCACCGAGCCAGACGGAACGGGCGAAGAGCGGGTGGGGGGTCGGGGCAGGAAGGAATGAATGAAAGAAAGAAAGAAGCAGTCTGGCCGAGGAGAGCGGAGGGGGGGTGTTCGTGTCGCCCTTCAGGGGAGCCGGTTCTCCTCCGCCCAATCGTTCATTCATTCATTCATTCCGATTCTAGGGTTCAGGCGAACTCGCGGACCACTTCCTGCCTTGGCGCATTCTGGCTCGTCGCTCCTCTTCGCCATGGGTTAGCTTCTGCTTCCTCCCTGCCTCCCCCTGCTCCTCCTTCGATTTTCCTGAATGCGTGTGATCCCAGTTCTATTTCTTTGTTGATACTCCGTGCAGCTGTAATGTAGCTCTAGTGGTGTTTACTTCCATCTCTTGCGATCGCGCCAGCAGGGTTTGGTGCATCTGGAACGTGGGGAATTTCATCTGCCGCGTGCTGTTTTTTTCTTCCAGAGCTTGGTATTTAAGGGCCGGGAACAAAATGCAGTCATCGTAGCAATGGCATTGGTACGATTGATGATAATTGGTTCCAGGATGAGCGTAAATCTTGTGGCATGGCAAAGCAGTAACATGTCTGCCGCTGTCCGATTTTATTATCAAGTTTCGTTTTAGTGAACTGCAGCCAAGATCAAGGTGCACGAGTTTCGCACGAAGAGTAAGAATGATCTCCTCATTCAAGTCTGTCAACTTCGTGTAAGTACTACTACATTTTTGGCTCCTGCCAACTAATGTAGACATGGCCGAGGTTAAAATCATCGCACATTCAACTGGAATATCATCTGATGCATCTCAAATGTACCATCTTTGGTGATGTTTATAATCGATTTACACGTACATCACAACCACATGGTTATTTTTCAGAAACTTTACCACTGAGTTCTTCTTGGTATATGACCCTACAGAGCGCGTTGGACTGTTATAAATCTCAATGTATTTCACAATTCCGAGGTGCCAAATTGTTGGCCCTGTGATTTGATCACAATCGAAGGATCTGATAGTAAAGCTTGTCTCGTTTAGAGTCGCCAAAGTGACTGAAGAGCTGCGAAACAACAACTCATCGAATATGTACGTGTTTTTTCCAGCTTTTCATCACAGTGTTGATGTAAACAGATGCAGACAGAAATTCATTTAGCAAATCAATTCTGCTTACCTATGGGAGTAGTATGTCTCTTCTGGTGAAGTACCTTTTTTCTTGGACAAACATAATGTGTTTATGAATCTCGTACCGTAAGAGTAGATGTTAAAGCATATTCAAACATGCAAATCTCTTCAATGATCTCAAACTAGGGATAGTATGGATAACCGGTTCACTTACCTCTTTGTATGCATTTGGTGTTTAGTATTGGAAGCTAGCAGGCAAGGGAAGACATAAGAGCATGGCAATGGACACTCGAAGTCCACTGGGGATGATGGGATTGAGAGCGTTGGCTGGGGCTCAGCAACAGTGGGGTAACGATTCTGCTGGAAATGGGTTGCTTGCTATGACAGGTACATCTCAGGAGTCAAGAGATGTTGATTCCGAGAGACAAATACATACCTTGCCTCTGGTTGTTACCCTGAATTGCCTGGAAGACTGTCGACTTGAGGAAGATGCTCTTGCTGGCATCGCACATGTTCGGCATGTAGGTTTAACGCAGCTTACTGAGGGGAAGATCGAGACTGCGGTTGCGGTGTTGATTTCTTCTTTGGCATACCTGCCCAGCGCAGCGCAGAGGAGATTGCAACCCTGGCAGCTCGTTTTGTGTTTGAGCAGTGTGGATAAGGCAGTGGACACAGCATTAGCTTCCGAACTGGGACTGCAATTGATTCATGTGGATAGTAAGCGTGTTGAAGAGGTGGCTGACACCACATTAGCCTTGATGCTGGGGCTGTTACGCCACACACATGTCTTGGCCAGGAAAGGTCATGATAGTGCTGCAGGGTGGTTGGGAGCTACCAAATCCGTGTGCACCGGTATGCATCGCTGCAAAGGCCTGGTCGTAGGGATCATCGGGGCATCTATAACAGCATGCGCTGTCGCTGTTCGTTGCCATGCATTCCGGATGCTGGTTATATATTTTGACCCAGAGGTGAGCAGTGCTGATTCTGCAGCTACTCCCTTCTTCAACAAAACATAACCTACGTACGAGCTTGATCGATGTATGAGATTTGCACTTGTTGCTCGGATCTTTTATTTGTACATTGTTGGATTCAAACTGGGCCCTGCAAGTTTTCATGTTCTTGATGTCCGTGATATTATTTTTAAATAACTGTTCAATTTGACTTCCATTATCTATCTGCACTGGTAGCTATTTTCTTTGATGTTTCTCATAAATATGCTAAGACCCAGCGGGCTTAGACTTGGAACCCACATTTTAAAATATTAGAAACAAGGGGGTCCACGTGCATATTCGAGTTCTTAACTCGATTTAGAAATGTTTTTTTAGTCCAGAATTGTAAAGTTTTTGTTTTCAACTCTTACAGTTATGTAAATTTACTTGGTAATGCACAGAATGTAGAAGGTCAGCAGGGAGGCACGAGATTGCTGCCTGTATCTGCAAAGAAGGTTAATAGTCTGAAAGAGCTGCTTGCTTCCAGTGATATAATATCTCTTCATTGCGGACTGAGTAATGAAACCGTGCAGCTTATAAATGCTGAATCTTTTGAATCAGTAAAGTCAGGTATTATACTGATGAACATCCTTGTAGTTACGTCTATTGTTCTCTATTATAGGTCAGCAACAAACGGCGTTGGTAGTAGTTTTGACTTCGAGAAATGGTGGCATACTGTGACATTTGATTCCATTGGTTTGTTGCTGTAGTCATTCTTAGCATAATCAGCTAGCCATAGGAACGCTGGTGTTTTGAGAAGCTTGCAGCTAAAGCTTCTTTTTGGATTGTTATCTGATCGAAATTTTGAAGTGGCTTTTGATTGTCATTTCTCTGTTTCTGATTACTAGCTGATTGGATTGCAGGTGCAATTCTTGTAAACACTAGTAGCAGCCACTTGCTTGATGATTGTGCAGTGAAACAGGCAATCATAGATGGTAAGTTGGCAGGCTGTGCACTGGACGGTGTTGAAGGACCTCACTGGCTTGAAGCTTGGGTACGATTCGTTCTCCTTGAGTTCTGTCGTCTATTGTTTCTTGTAAGGTCATGTATTAAACACATCATTTACTATTCTGTATCGTACTGCATAACTTAATTGGAGCATATTAAAGCTGCTAGCTTGAAAATTCGTGCAAGTCTGGAAGAAGGATTTTGAAATGGCAGCTGTCATATGCATTATTCTCGGTTCAATTGTGCTCGGAATATCCCTACTTGCTAATACTTAGGGAAGACGGGCGAAAAAGTAATTAAGTCTTCTTGGTGCATATTTAGTTCTTATAATCTTTTATATTCCAGTGTCAAATGCAGCAAAGTGTGTGGTAATGGTTTTGGCAGGTGAGGGAAATGCAAAACGTGCTGGTACTACCTCGTAGCGCAGAATACAGTGAGGATGTTTGGCTCGAAATCCGAGCGAAAGCTGTGGCAGTACTGCGCTCTTATTTGGTCACAGGTGTGTTATCAGCAGATGCTACTTCTGATGATGACGAATACTACGTAAATTTCACTCAAGCACCTCGCCAGGAAATTTTAGCGGAGACCTTAAATGGAAAGGAAGAGTCTAGGCATCGGACTGAGGAAACGACCTCCGGATCTGAACACAGGCGTAGTCCGATGATCTTTCAGGCCCAGGATCTACGTTCGCTTGGTCAAGACTCAGATATAGACAGCCCTAATTTAAAGCAGTATGAGGGACATCTGAATCAAGGCAGAGGATCTGGAAAGAAGGCAAAAAAGCGGTCCGGGCGGCGGAAATCTATACATAATCTGGATGCTTTTCAAGTGCAAGAAAGGGAACCTGACTGGATTACAACGCCAAGAGATGATCAGGGTGCTAGTGTGAGTACACGAGATAACAAGCCTAGCTCTGATTCTCGATTTGGCTCACCAGGAGTCGCAAATCCTAAGGCTGTCAATGACAATCCACTAAATGGGAGAGAGCAAGTGAATAGCATGGCATCTATGGGGTTTGCCATAGACCAACTGAAAGAAGGTTACGTTGTAGCTTTACATGGAGTATCAGGGGGTGGTTACTACGTGGCTCGACAACGTGGCCCTGGCCGAGGATGGTGCTTAGATATTATGTTTGATGTTACCCCTCGAGACCCTGCATCCCAGTTTCTTGTTGTAGTTCGCAATAGGGTAAGTACTTTATCATTTCGTTGCGAGATCGGTAAACTTGAGGTAGGCTTGTGGAGTTTTTCTGTGATGACTCGATGCTGTGCTTCGTAGTGATGTAGGCTGAACAGCTCAATCCAGACTACCGTTCTTATAATTAAGTCAAACTTAACATTTTAAAGTATGTTCAAATGGTACGTTTCACATCTTGTAAAGGCTGATACTTCGTGCAACCATGCAGGATCGTATTGGGCTGAGATCCTTAGCAGCAGGTGGTAAACTTCTTCAGGTTATAATGAACTCACTTTTGTCCCACCATTCCTACTTTCCTCATCTTGATTTAGAAGTTTTATTTTCATCAATTTAGTGCGTTTCCCTAATAGTCCCATTTAATTGAAAATGTCTTCGCAAGCATTCTAGTATTCTCTTTATCAGAATCGTGTGAAAGTGAAAATTTACATACGTCAGTCTGTAAGAAAGATTTGTGGAGCGCAGGCTAATAAGAAGCTGGAGTTGGTGTTTGTGAACCATACATTTGATGTGTGGGAAAGCTGGATCGTGGAAGGACGTCACCTAGATAACTGTAGTCTGACAAACAGCAGGTTTCGCTCGGTGGGTCTCGATCTCATGAATAGCTTTCCAGATATTCAGAGATTGTTTCCTAGGCCTGACGGGATGTGCAGTCATTTAAGGTCTGACTCATTTTCATTTGATTTGACTCAATGTGCAGGTCACCTTGCAAGTATCTATGAAGATTCTTGCAGCTGTAGGCGAAGAAGATGGCATTGCTCGCTGGCTCAGCTGAGTCCAGTCGCATAATACATGATTTATATCATTCTCAACATGCGTATGATGCATTGCTATGTTCTCTGTGCTGCAGTGAATTAAGCGACATTTGATTTTCCCCAGTAATGATCAATGGACTAAAATGTTAGATAACGATTCTGCTTGATCAAAATCTTTGGATTTTGTTGTGGGCTTCTATTGTCTGCTATGAAGCAGTTAATGATATAGTCCTTGGTCAATTCTGCTAATGGATTCGTCGAATTTGAGTTGTTTAAGTTGCAGCGACTTGCTGTAGGTGTATTTTTCCAGATTTTACTATTTGAAATTGTTTAAGTCCTTTTAAGAAACTTTATGCACAATTTAGGAAAATGATTAAAGCAAGAAATGTAAATACTTCTAAAATATGATGACCTCACCAGATATTGATGAAGCTGTGTCGGCAAGTCCTTGATTTATGTGTGCATTACCTTACGTTTCTTGAATCTTGATGCATCATTTCAGTTTTAAATTTCTTCCAAATAAGGTAGTATTGTAAGATAATTCCTTCTGTTCAAAAGTGGTGTTTACATTCTTTGCAAACAAAATTCATTTATAATACCTGCAATTCTCTTATTCATTCTGCTCTTATGTGTTTTCTAAGATATACTAAAGTTAGTAACCATTACTATGCATGAGCCATCAGCTAATTGTCACGTGTTTTTTTGGTAATGAAACACATCATTATAAATACTCTTCTGCAACTCCTTAAATAATATCCCACGTATACAAAAAAACAAACAGCGAAATTGTACAGCATGCATTGAGAAAAAAACGAGGATTTAAAATGCCATTACATGAAAATTAACACAAGAAATATGTGAAATTATAAGATTTCACTTCTAACAAGGAAATACATGTTAATATTGCATCTTTTTCACAATTGTTTTTTGTAAGCACTTTAGTAACTAAGTCTGTTATTCTACATAATATTTTCAATATTACTCTTTTGTCAATTCTTTCTCAAACAAGATAATGTTTCTTGTTAATGTATTTCATAAGAAATGCTTTGAATCTTGTTAATGTATTTCATAAGAAATTCAATTTTTTCACATTATTTATATTTCTCTTAATTGTCCAAGCTCAATGTCTTCTAAGAGTTTACAATTTTTTATTTATTTTCATTATATATTTGCTTAATGTTATATATCTTATGTTTATGGTAAAATATGCAATTGTGATTTTTGAAAACATAGCTAAAAGTTAAGGAGGGAATAAAATTAATAAGTGCTAATATTGGATTTTTATAAAAATCGCTTCTATTTACCTTGTAGAAACCATAAACAAGGAAAATAAAGGCAGATTAGTAAAAATAGTATCATAAGCATTATTAGATAGAAGTAAAGAGTAGCAATCAACAAAAATTACTTAAATAAATCAACCTTCTATGTGTATTGATCAAATAAATCAATCTTTCTATTTCTCTTTTTGGCTTTGTAGCAATTTTTTAGAAAGTGATATAGTTTTTTTACAAATGAAGCAAATTTTTCACATTGCTTCTTAAATTATCACATTGGTTGGAATAACTACATTTGACTTGTCGTGAAAAGAAAGTTTATGTTTTTTTAATTGGTTGTTCTATAGACAAGTCTTATCATTATATAGTCTAAAATAAGTTCTTTGATCTCAATGGATTCTAATGCTACAATGAGATAGATACCTGACTCAAAAATGTTCAAAAGTAATTTCATGATAATATTATAATTTTCAATTGGTTGATCAACAATTAATAGTTGATTTGCAATATTTCTTACCTTCTTAACATAAGCCATAAAATCATCACCTTTTTAAAATCTTACTTTTAAGAACTTTCACGTTGTCCATAGGATCTTTGTAAGGTCTCTATTCTCATAGATGTTGCAAAGAGTCTTTCATACTTTTGTAGATCTATTTCAAGACATAATATGTGAAAAGTTGGCTCTAACAACATTTGTTGTTGTTAAATCAAAAGCCTTCTTATTACAAGGTTTGTACTTTTTTTTTTTTCATTTGTATCAATATTGATGCTTGGAAGCTCTTTATTTTCATTATTAAAAAAAATTAACTTTGAAGTTACAAAACATAGAATCAACAAGATTGCATATAAAGAGAGAATAAAATAAGATAACTTTCATTGAAGATGTCTCGTCAAATATATCATTATTCCTACTTGGACACATCTTTAAGTGTTTATAAGTAGTCTTATGCTCCAAAAAGTCTACTTCATAATTCTTGATGATTTTTTTGGTTTTTAAATACATTAGTATATATGCCTTATTACCTTCACAATATCCAATAAGTATTAAGTTTGGATCTCATATAATTAGATACTTTTGTATAAGCAATACATTCAAAAATCCTAATATATGAAAAATAAGGTTTCTTATTATTCTAAGCTTTATGTGAAGTCATTGATGTGAGTACACTTATAAGACACTTATAAATGTGACAAAGTACCTTGCTCCTCCTATTGATGATGTTTAAGTGCATCCACAAATATCAAAATATAGAATTTCCAATAATTTGCTAGCATGTATTGCAGCTCCACTTGAAAATGAAGTCCTTTGTTGATTGCCTTTGATATAATATTTATAAAACAATATCATGGCATTGTAGCTAAATTGATCAAGATTTAAGCGACTTATTATAGATTTGAGCTCTTTCAAGCTTTTAGCATTTAAATGCCTAAATTATTGATGCCAAATTTCTATCTTGTCTTGATCTTATGGAAACTTAGGAAATACTGCCACTTTAATTCTATTCACTTTTTTATAATTGATGAAGTAGAGATTGCTATTTCTAAAGCCTTTGATAACATCTTAGCTACTTTATGTCTTCACAAAGCATCTATTTATGTCAAATTGAATCTTACAACTATGTGATATAAGTTTGTTCATCAAAAAAAAGTTCATCTTTAGCACAAATAAGACTTTTTTTAATATGATCCTCTTGATTAGGTCTTTTACTAAAATATCCACCATAATAGAACTAATTCCAATGGCTTGTACCATGCTATTGTCTTCCAACCAAACTTTTTTTCTTGAAATTGCTTCAAAAGCATCAAATGAACTCTTATATAGTATCGTATATTTAGTAGCATTTAAATCTATAATCCACTAAGATATAGCAGCTATAGAAGCTTCTTTATTTGCCAAGAAAGCATAATCTTATCCACCAAAATTGTTACAAGTATGATTTGCTTCTTCATATTTTTTTTTTTAGTTTTGTGACAAATCTTTATAAAACAACCTAATTTTCTATAGATATAGCAATTGTTCATATTTCATTTTAAATTATCATGTTGGTGAAAATAATTACTTTTTTTTTTTATCTTAATATAGAATCAAATCATCAATTTGAAGCTTATTTTTTTTTTTCTCTTGATCACTTCATGTGTAAGTCTTGATGTTACATAATTTTTGTAAGTTGCTTCATATTGATAAATTCTAATACTACAATGAATTAATTATAAGACTTTGGATGGCTTATGAGTAATATCAATATAATATCTATATTGTCAATTAATTTGTAAATAAGTGCTAATTGCTTTGTAAGTACTTTTATCTTGTTGATATAAGCTTTGAAGTCATATCGTTCTTCCATCTTTACCGTAAAGAACTTCTCCCTTATCTATAGAATGTTAACAAGGTTTTTATTCTCATAGATTTTGTAAAAAGTCATCTATCATTCTATTGGTTTATAATAAGCAATTATATATGAAACATTGATAATATCAAGATTTATTGCAATCATTTCAAGAACCTTCATTTTATAAATTTTATACTCTTTCTTTACATTCATATCTATATTATCACTTGCAGGCTCTTCACTTTTATCATCAATGTTCCAAAGATCTACTGAAGAAATAAGAACTTTGAAGTCACCAATATATAGCATCAGCAAGGTTACTCACAAAGAGATCATGGAATAAGATATTTCTCACTTCCAACTCTTATTACTTATAGATGGTGGCTGTTGTCTTAATGGACAACTTCCATCTTTTGATGAATATATTTATCCAACATTCTATTGAAATTATTTATTACTATCTTATCTATTATAAAAATATTATTTTTAGTATATTCTTTATATTGTTAAGATCCTTTGTCCATTCATCTATTTTATCTCTTAGCCTTCTTACATACCAAGAATCAATCCTTTAATCAATAGCAACTTACTTAAAATAATATCTTTTATAATATTACTTATTCTATTTTTATATTTACTTATGTACTTTAATATTCTTTTTTTTGCTATTAGTCAAATATTTTCAATTCTAATATCTTTGTCAACATGAGATGTCTGTTCTTTACTATTACCTTTGTCAATAAATTAGCAAGCATGTCTTTTGTTATACAATACTTTATATCAATCACTCCTATTTCAATATTTTTTTTTATAAAGTGATGTTGAATGCCAATGTGCTTGGTCTTTAAATGATAATTTGTATTCTTTATAAATCCTTGATTCTTACACTCTATTAAAGTTGCTTCCATTTGTACTACTCAATGTCTTTTAAAAGTTGTCTTAGTCATATTGCATCAATTGCAGCATGCCTTGTTGCCATATATTTGGCCTCCATTATTGATCTTGTAATTGTGTGAGATAGAAATCTATAAGATAGATCTTAGTCCAACAAAGAATATATATTCCATTGTTGACCTTCTATCATTTGTATCTCTAACCTAATCCGCATCACAATAACCATGCAAAGTAATGTTATCACTTCTAAGACATAATTTAAAATGCAAAGCATATTTTAATTATTTCATGATCTTTTGGATGATTTTTCAATGGATTGACCAATCCTTTGACATATGTTGGCTCACAACACTCACCGCATATGCAAGTTCTACCCTTACACCAACTATTGCATATATAAGTGATCTCATTGTTGCCTATTAATTACTTGAAACACCTTCCATTTGATCTTCATCTTTAGTAAATTCTTCATCCATTGTCATATTGTAAAAGCTTATAATATGTAAAAATTAATTAAAATATATTATATATTAATAAATCTAGATGTATGTTAGAATGGTTAATAGATTAATTTAAAGAAAGTGGATTTAAGAAACTTTATTTTGAATTTTATCTTTTTTGATTATAGCATTTAAAAAAATTATAGGACCTAAATATTTAGTATGAAGCCTTGAGAAGAGATTAGAGCATAAAGACAAAAATATTAACTAATAGGAGGCTTATTGAGAGGGATGAAAGCAAG